TGTCGGGTTGGTGAAGATCTCCTCCCATTCAGTGGCTGACAATTTGGGCAGACTGAGAAGACAATGATAATGGCACTGGGATTTGTCTCTACTGCATGTACTGGCTTTTTGGGTTCCTATTCTATTTGGATGCACACCTTCCTAAGCCTGGATAGAGTGGGGAGGGCCTTGAACTTTCCACAAGGCAGGGTACCCTGCCCTTTCTTAGGACTGGAGGGGAAGGGGAAGGGGGAAATGGGAGGGAAGTGGGAGGAGAGGAGGAAGTGGAAATTTTGAATGGTATTATTTATAAAGTAATAATAAGTAAATAAATAAATGGAATTGCTTTACAATGACTGTTCTTATTAATCATAATCAACCACCTCTATCTCATAGTAAATGACTAGATAAAAGGAAAAGGTTTGAAATTTGTGTACATTGTGAGGATCTAAGAAAATGTGTTAATATGTATAAATGCAACAGGTAAAGGTCTAAAAAAGTGAATTAAGGTATGTAAAAAAATGAAAATGTTTCAGATTTTCTTTCTCACTATATTGTTATATGAAGAAAAAATATTCAGAGTTTTTCCATTAATTAGTGGAGTACTGATAAGCTATCAATCTAATCCTGGTAAAGCACTGACTGCTATAGTCATGAGTTCAAATATTTACATTCCCTTTGGTTGTCTTCTAAGTATATACTAAGTATAGACTTAAAATGTTTCTGATCATGCTGACAACACCACTGTCCAATTTATAAATCCATCACCCTGGACAAAGAAAAGAGTATTAATGCTTTTAGCCCAGACTCATTTCATTGGGTTCCCAGGCTTTTACTACGACTCAACATGAATCTACTGCTTTTTCTACTTTTTGTATTTTAGTACAGATTACAAACAGTGCTAATGATAATGTATCTAAAACTTTTATCTAAAACTTAAAATTCATGTAAGCTTATATGAAGTCACCTCTTGTAAGGATCATCCTCTCATGGATTTAATGGACTCCTGATAAGTACTCCTGTCATTCAACAGCCAGACCTCTCTATTCTCGAGGGTGGGATCCTCCCCTTCCCCTGGTCTTTGGAGATTAGATTCAGAGTTCATGCTTTGAAAAGAAAAGAAAAACAGAAGTGCTGTGGGATAATGCTCTTGTACCCTGTAAAGATTTGTCACTTGTATTGGTTTAATAAAATGCTGAGTGACCAGTAGCCAGGCAGAAAGTATAGGCAGGGTAACTAGACTAGGACAGAATTCTGGGAAGAGGAAAGGCTCAGTCTGCAGTCAACACTCAGATGCAGAGGAATCAAGATGAAAATGCTGCACTGAGAGAAGGTACTAAGCCATGTGGCTAAACATAGACTAGAATTATTGATTAATTTAAGTAGTAAGAGCAAGCTAATAATAAGCCTGAGCTAATAGGTCAAACAGCTTAGATTTAATATAAGCCTCTGTGTGTTTCTTTGGACTGGACAGCTGAGGGACCATGTGGGACAGAAACTTTCATCTACAAATCCACCCCTTTCCCTAATTTTCAGGGCCACAGGCCTGGCTGTTCCAAACATACACCCAAGATAAAAAATACTCCCCTAAACTCCTTAACCTTACTTCTGCCCCTAGACTATCTCTGGATGAGTAGATTTCCAATCAAGCGAAGACAGAAAACTGTTCCAAACTTGCAGCCCTACATGTTTCTGAAGGAATTTCTGCCTAGCCTGAGCCCCAGTGTTCTGCTCCAAAGCTGCCTCTACTTCACTGGCCCTAGGTGATCTCACGGGAGCCGGTCAGCTAACAAAACAGATGTTCCCCCCAGGGCTGCACTCCTCTTTCCTTTTCAGTTCTTTCACTATAATTCCAGCCTACAGCCTGCTCCCCAACAATGCCCCAATTTCAGCTCAGAAGCACTTATAGAAGAAAATATATTGTCCCATATCATCAACACAAGGCAGGAAGGGTATGACTGAAGATATGGGTGACAAATGGCTAACTGATGTGCCTACCGACATGTCAAATGAGACTCCGGAGGCCAGTCTTTCTCACCATTGCAAGTCTCTGTTGCAGAGTCCAGGCTCCTCTCAGCAATTCTCCCCTCCACCCCTACGCTAAACCTCTCCAGTCCCTGAGCTTCCCTTCCCCCAGTTTCTCTTTATAATAGCTTGAGAATCAGAGCCTTGGATCCTTACCAGGTTCGTTTATACTCCCGATAGACCTTCTTGTGCTGCTCAGAGGCACCCCACTTAAAAGATGAGATTTTTCAGATGGTCTGAGTGTGTTACCAAACATCCTTGTAATAAAAACATACCTAATAGGTGATAGATTTGAGACCACATGGAGTGTCGGGGAATGGAGAAAACTGGGTGTTGGGACAGGAACACACAATTCAATTGAATCACTCTTATCACACAGTGAATCATTCTAATAACACTATAAAGTGTGCTAAGGTTAGGTTAGCCCCATCCAACACTCTTAGGGTGGGTTTGGAGCCTATTGCAGAAGTCATATCTGGTGTTTGGTGTGGTAACAGTGTAGCGATTATCTCTATAATACAACTCAAATGCTACCCATTTAAACATAACCCCAAATAAGTAACGGTCTGTAAAAGCATGTGTGCTTTTGTTCAGGAATTGGCTGGCCACTTCATGACTGTGTGCAGGCACCCTTACTGGATCTCTAAGCTTAGTTTACTCAGGGAGAGCATTGCTTTGAAAATGCGTCCCTTCCTCCCTTTGCTGTAATAAATCTTTCCCATTTACATGTTGGCTGTGCTTGTTTAAGCTTTTCCCACACCAAGATGCATATACTATGTAAATGTGTAAGCACTTTAGGTATATAAAAGCACTAGGTAGTGGTGCATGGGGACCCAGAGCAATAGGAGATGTCAGAGCAGAGCAGGATGTAAGGTAGGGCAGGCAGTCAACTGAGCTCTGTGACAACAGATGGTGACATTTCCTCTTCCGACCCTGACACTGCCTTCCTTTCATGTCTGGCCTTACTTCTGCACAAAAATTTGAAAAATCTACCCAGGTCAGTAGCCCCAACTTTTCTCCAATCATCCAATCCCTTCTTCCTACTTACCTGGCACCTGGGCAGCCTAGACCTGGTTCTCTCTTCTATTCTCTGAGAGTTGACTCACCAACAATGGCTCACACCGTGGATGACAAACTGACTCCCTTGGGCCTCCAACCCTCCACACATCCCTGCTTTTGCTACGCTTGTCACTCCTTTGCATTACTTTTGTTCCTCCCCCCACCCAGCACTTTCATCCCTTGTGTGGGGCATCCTCCCCCAACACACCTCCACTGTTCAACCCATGGGCTGCAGCTTCCTTTCTCACCCAGCTTCACCCTTATCTTAACTTTCATCCCAAAAACTGAACCATCCTGGGCCTTGCTATGAAAGTATGGGTGATCCACAGCACCCACACGATAGCAGGGTCCCTCACTGGGACTGAGAGGCAGCACCAAGCTTCCTCCCCACCCCAAATTCACCTTCACAAATAGCATATGATGAGGTCCCATTAAGTGTGAATGTGTTTAAAGACACTGAGCTCTGCACCTAAATTTGCTGAGATTGACCAGCAAGATGGCTCGGTAGAGAGAGCCTTTCTGCATAAGCTTGACAACCTGAGTCTGAGCTCTGGAGCCCAGGAGGTAGAAGGGAAGCATCTCCACAGAGCTGTCCTCTGACCGCCACACACGCCCATGTGTATGTACACATCACACACAGAGATGAATTTTTAATCATAATTTTGTTTTTTGTATTTTACAACAGGGAGAAAAGAGGGAATATGAGTGAGAAGTTTTTTTGTTTTTTTCCTATCCAAGGTAGTCAGCCAGAAAGGGCCAAGACTCCATAGCCTACCCCATCTTTTAGAATTCTGGCATGTAAGTCTGTTTATTCTATAATGACCTTAGCCTTTGTGATGATAATTAATAATCAGTGGCACCAGGATGTAAGTAAGGTCCAGCTCCCCCAATGAGATGAGAGTCACCACTCATGCTAGAATAAAAACTAAGCAGACTTTGTGCTCCTACTTCTTTGTGCTCCTTGATCACACGTAGCAAACCCTTTTGTCAAAAGAAATTCCCTTCCTGAATTAATTTTCCATTGTCTATTGTTTCTCTGTGCAACACCGAGAATATTCTTTCTATCCAAAGGATCATGACTTGACCAGAGGAGGCCTGGGGAGCCAGTCTCATCCTCCCTCCTGATGTGGGATTCCCTTCTGTATGCTGTGAATATCATTGGTTAATAAAGGAACTGCTTTGGGCCTATAGCAGATCTATAGGGGAACAGACCTATGTGAGGAAAACTAAACGGGATGCTGGGAGAAAGGAGGCAGAGTGTGAGAGAAGCCATGTGTAGCCCTGCCAGAGCCAGATGGAAGCCACAGTCACGTGGTGATACACAGATTAATAGAAATGGGTTAAATTAAGATGTGAGAGTTAGCCAATAAGAAGCTAGAGCTAATGGGCCAAGCAGTGATTTAATTAATACAGTTTCTGTGTGATTATTTTGGTGCTGAGCTGCTGGGAGCCAACAAGCGGCCTCTTATTACAACACCCTTCTATCACAACTCCTAGCCAGTCCACTTCCAGCCTTGTAATCCTGGAGATGCCTCCCCTTAGCCTTCTTACTCCCCTTCTCCCTACAGATGGCCTGGACTCCTCTGAGCTCCTGGAAGGCCAGCTTCCTGGCCACTGACCACCATCTCTGTCCTCAAATGCCTAGGCAGGTGGAGAAGAGGATGCCACACAAGGAGACAGACAGACTTGCACTCAATGTCTGCAATGTCAGATCAGGACTCTCTGCTGTGATCCAGACCTCTGCCCTCTTACCAACCCCTCAACAGTACACACGCACAAGCACATAGATGTAGGTGCCCTGGGGGCTCCTGCCAGGCCAGGAAGCCTGGCCGTGACACCTTTGAGCCTCTCTGGCCCCAGCAGCAATGAAGCCCCAACCAGGTGGTTAGCAATCAATCGAGGGTACCCACAGCCCCCTTCCTCACCCCTCAGCTCACCTCGGAGGTACATGAACGGGCCCTGGATGATTAAATTTCAGAGCAGCAAGTCATTAGGCACAGCCCAGACCTCAGGCACACAGCAGGACCCACCCTCAGGAGCAAAAATCCAGTCTTGAATGCCTGTGGGCGGGGAAGAACTCTGGCTGAATTTAGATTTACCTAGGTGTGTCTACAGGAACCAGGTGTCCTCAGTCAGCTATTGCCATGGACACAGGCAGTATCTCACCTACAACTCAGATCCTGGGGATTGTGGGTGTTTTCCCCTGCTATCTACTCTAGCCTGCCTTCATTGTGATTTCCCCAAACCTGACCCCACTGTCTTCTTCAGCTTAGGTTCCTTCCTACTTTATCAACACTCTCCCAAGCCCTCCTCTTCTGACTGTTTTAGAAATTTTTCTCTCTCTCATCTTTCTCCCTAACTTCCCTCCTTCTTCTTCCATCTCTTTCTCCTCCTCTCTCCCTCCTTTCCCTCTCATCTCTTCCTTTCCTTCCTCTTCCTTCTCTAATGTCTATCTCTGCATCTTTTTATCTCTCTCTCTCTCTCTCTCTCTCTCGGCAGGCTGTCCTCAACATACGCTGTAGAACAGTCTTGAACCACATCTGTTTCTACTCTCCAAATGTTGTGATTATGGGCATGTAGCCCCACTCCCAAGTTTATCCAGCCCTGGATATGGAAACCATGTTTCCAACCCTCCTTCTCATCACCTGAGCACCTTGAAGGCACATCCGCTAAACAACCCAAAGTCGGTGATACTTTCTACCTTGTTATTAACTCTTCAGTGGTTCTCAACCTGTGGTTTGTGACCCCTTTAACAAAGTTCTAGCTCCAAAAAATATCCATCTGTAACAGTTGCAAAATTAAAAATTTGAAGTAGCAATGAAAATAATTTATGGTTAGGAGCCACCACATGAGGAACTGTATTAAGAGGTCTCAGGATCAGGAAGATTGAGAATTGCTGCTCTAGGATGGGAAACTCTTGGTCCTGATGTTGTGGGATAATGGTTTTACCCTGTAAAGATTTGGTTTTTGTACATTTTTAATAAAATGCTGATTGGTCAGTAGCCAGTCAGGAAGTATTGGTGGGATGACCAGGCAGGAAGTAGAGGCAGGGCCATGAGAATTCTGGGAAGAGGGAAGTTTCAGTCTGCAGTTGTGACCCAGCTGCAGAGGAAGAAAGATGTGACTGCCTCACTGAAAAAGATACCAAGCCACGTGGCCAACATACACAAAAACTATGGGCTAATATAAGTTATAAAAATTAGTTAAGAAAAAGGGCCTGAGATACTAGGCCAATCAGTTTGTAATTAATGTAGATCTCTGTGTGATTCTTTGGGACTGAATGGCTGCAGGACCAAGCAGGATAAAAACCTCAGTCAACAGTCCTAGTGTTATGGGTCTGGGGTCATCCAGAGATTCACTAGTGTGACCATTAATGAAGTTTGGCAAAGAAGAGGCTTTTATTCATTTACTGGCACCGAGTTTACAAATGGGACTGTTAATTCCTGAATTTAGCTCCCAGCAACCTCAGTCAGGGGTTTTTTTTTTTTTTAAAGGCAAAGAACGCAAAATTACATCCTGCTCTCCTGCAAGCAGAAGGGCAACTCTTGCAAAACAAGTTCTTGTTTGCACAAGCAGAAACACTGGTTGACGTTATAACTTAGCTATAACCGGTTTGTTAATGCTGTACAAGACCAGGCAACTACAAAGAGTAACCCTTAATAGACCTAAACATTTGGATGTCTAATTTCACTTTAAAGTTCTCTTAAGCACAGAAATTTTAAACTTTTAAGCATAACCTTAGCCATCACATTCCCCCTTGAGTTATACTCAAAGTCAAATCCTTGACTCTGTGCTGGGTGCCTTCCATACCCAGACTTAATGAGCATAGCTAATAGCTCCTAATTTATATATCTGGTTAAGGCATTGGTGATGCAGGGCCAATCATATTCGGCAGGTGAAGGAGAGCCCTGGGCCCTGGGATGGTTGACAGCAGAGTTACTGGTCAGGAAGAATCAGAATGGCAACCATTTGTATTTCCCCTTTAACGTATTCTTCCTTTCTGTAAGGCGAGGGTTTTCCAGAGCATAACCAAGTAATCTGTAAAGGTTTCCAAGTGATTTGCACAGAAACAGCATTCCCCTCAGCCACACAGTGACATCCTTGCACTGCAGATAGTCCATAGACCAGGGGTCTCCTGTGCTGAAAACCCACCTGAGCTAACAATGACATCTGTTCTTCTGTCTTGGCAATAGATTTTTTCTAAAATATTCAAGGTTATCTGGTGTCCTATTAAACACAGGCATTTAATATGTTTTAATCTGGTCTGATTGGATTTCTTTGCACCAGCGGAGATGCTCGTCTTAAGATATTTCATAACAATCTGGTGCCTAGGTTTTTGAAGTTAACGTCAGTCATTACTGTACCAGTGGCACTAAGGACAGCTCCTGCTGTTGGTCCCTAAGCTTATTATGAGGGGTGTGAAAAGGGAAATTGCTTGTTTCCCCCGAACACGGAGACTGGAAGGGCCTGTGTCTACGCATACATGTGTTTTCTCCCTACTGGACCATCATAAACACATATCCTGGGGAACAGGGATGCCAAGATATGGGATATCAGGAATTGACACATTTGCCAAATAAGCAAGCAAAGGCACAAACTATCAGCCTATGTAAACCGGTTTCAACCAGGAAGTAAACAAAGGAAGGAATGCTCACCTGACAGAGTGGTGGCTGGGAGTTGTGAGACATTTATGACAAATTTGCATTTTCTCTTAAAGGGGGATCTAGATATATACATATATTCCATGAAAGCGCAGGCAGGACCATAGTCAAACAGATGGCATTAGTAGTCTACAACCCACCTAAGTCTTATCCCAGTGGATCTTCCCAGGCTTCGGTGAGCGTCCATTTCTTTGTAGCTGTGGCAAGGGTGTCATGGACCCCTGTGATGTGCTTGACCTGAGAATGATGTGTCCAGTGCAGACGTCATCCACCTTGACAGCAGTGGGGGCCCAGGGACACAGACCCTCCAACACCATATCTCCTAAGACTCTGGTTCCACAAACAGAACCAAGGCCTTTCCCCAGAGGCCTTGTCTGGTACCGTGAAGCTCTGCCACTTCCAAGCTCAGCCTAGATGCCCCTCCCATGCCCTACCCACTGGTCCCACCCAGTCCTGAAGAGTTCCTGCCTAGGGAGCCTCAGCTCCTGGAGATACTCTTAACTCTCTCGGCCAATTACACCATGCAACTCCAGTTCTCAGGACACAACTGCACACCTCTGCAGCTCCAGCCCTTTTGTTGGAGACCTCAGCTTTTCCTCTGACTGATGGTTGTCTCTGGGCAGGTGGGGACATCTTATTCTCCTGGAGGAGAGGCAGGTGTACAGGGAACCCAATGAATATAGATGTCCTATTCCAGTTGGTGTTTCCCTATGGTTAGAGATCTTCACACTTCTTCTGCTTTGTGGTGGGGTTGTCCTCATCCAGTTTTAGCAGGTGAGAACACAGAATCACCCAGAGGCAACAGGGTTGAGCAGAATGGAGTTTGGTGCCCCAACATGCTACAAACTGCAACATTATGCAGTAATTGCTCAGTCATCCTTTCATGAGTGACTTATCAGAGCCAGAGACTTTGGTAAAGGTTAAACAAAATGTCAAGAAATTTTAGGGTTATTGCTTTGGGAATAAAGTTGCTATATTTTCCTATAGATTTTTGTTGTAATTGACTCCCCTTCTGTTACATATTTGGGAATTAATTCCCACAGTTCAGAGATGTTTCCTATGCTTTTGGTACTTACTGATCACATTCCCAGCCACATGTGGAAACAGTTTCTCACTGCCAGGCCTTCATTCCTATCTCCCGGGTAACTGCAGAGATCTGCCTTTCTGCAATCACCTTCATCAGTAGGCATTTGGTCAGAGTTTAGGGTCCAGGAAACGGGTACATCTCATTAAAGATATTCACAGATCTCCAAGAGGACATAGAATTACTACTCTCCCAAAGCTGCTGGTTCTTAGCTGCTCAGACAGATAGAAAAATAAGCATTCCCTAGTTTTACCTCACTTAAAAGATTCTTAACTCCTCACGCTCTCCTTCACCTCAGTTCACTGATGATATTAGTTCAGGAAATTTACTGTTTGTGTTTTAATCTCAATGAGAGCAAAGATAGAAATACCACAACTCAAAGAAATATGTCCTTCCTGCTGGCACCCCATACACACAACACCCATGATAAAAATGGCTGATAACAGCATACCCCAGACCTGATAATTTAGAGACCTGGGTCTCCTCTTTGTTTCCACTGCTTAGAGCAATAAGTTAAACTCCAGATCTAGACCCAAAGAATTGGAGCATCTGGTGATGTGTGAACAGATCAGGGGTTAGCTTCCCCCCGACTGTTTAAATAGGTTGCCTGATTACCCGATATCCTCTATGCATGCTGGGGGGAAAATGATACACTGATTTAAAAAGCAATCCATGCCCTATTCATAATTTTTACTGAAAGCAAACTTTTTAAATGTGTAGCATAGTGCACTAGCTTTCTCCTCTAGAATTCCTTGATGATTTAATTTAATTCCTTTCTTAACTAACTTTCTACATTAAGGAGTTCACTGAACCTGCACTATACACTCCCACCTTTAAACTGACAACCACAAATATCTCTCTCTCTCTCTCTCTCTCTCTCTCTCTCTCTCTCTCTCTCTCTCTGTGTGTGTGTGTGTGTGTGTGTGTGTGTGTGTGTGAAAACTCTTATCTGATTTTGTTGATTTCTTGGTTGCCTTACAAACTCAGTAAAAAGACAGGTTGTGGTTCAGGCAGCAAAAACAAAGTCTTTGTCCATAGGTACAAGCGCTGAGACTAGGTAGACCAGTTTCTTTAGATGTGGGAATCCAGGGCACCTGCAAGGACAGTAGAGATGGCTTGGTGGCTCACAGACAGCTACTAATAATTTTAACATGCCAAATTCTGTACTTGTTGGCTAATCCATGGAGAACAAGTTTTATAGAGATAAGCCACCCCTTGTCTGTCTTCCTGTGACACCAGGAAATAGCTGTAGTTAGCAACAACTCAGGGGATGTACCTGTTACAGGGTAAG